TACCCACCCCTTCCTGCCCCTCAACCCTCTCCAGCCTTCTGGCTGTAGTTTGACAGTCTGTTTGATGCTGTTCTGCCTCTGTATCTATTTTTGCTCATCAGTTTATAATGGTCTTTATTATCCATAAATGAGTGAGATCATGTGGTCAGTCAGGGACTTTAAAATAATAATCATAAAAATGCCAAAGAATCTGATGGACAAAGTGCACTGCACGTATGAAGCGATGAGGAATTTTGGCAGAGACATGGAAACTTTTTTGTGGGGTTTTTTTTTTTTTTTAAAGAACCAAATGGGAATGCTAAAAATAAAAAATATAATATCAGAAATTAAGATCCTTTAGATTAGCTTAGCAGAAAATACCTGAGCAGCCTTGACCAGATTCCTGGGAGTTTATATTGTGGAAGGATTCCTTATTCACACTAATTGATATTTTCCTTGAGTAAGAAGTACACAACTCACTGCACTAATTATAAGGCCACAAACATTCCTTTTGATAGAGCACTGAATAGATTCATCAGGCCACATATTCTCATCTTTCCCTGGTAGTTTCCTGATAGAAAACAAAATAATTGGCACTTCTGTGAATTCATACATAGGCCTTTCTAGATCTTTTAGTTGGAATTTTCACCTGTCTTGGGAGAGAAACTAGAGGCACTCTTGGTAACTTAGTCCCTACCATGTGTGAGTACTGTGTCTTGTGTCACAGCTACTAGTATATCATTATCATTTACTAGTCCCTTCATAGTTTTAATCTTTCATTGGACATATGGTAATAAAATACTAATTTTCACATAACAAATAGGTTTCTAGAAAAATTAGTTTCTTAATAGGTAACCTTGTTAGTGTCCATTGAGCCTTAGAGGCACAGTGATTAAAAGTTTCAGACTACCACTCAGGACATACAGGAATTTCTTTGCAATTAGAACTTGAATTTCTGGAATAATTGCTTCTGCCATCCTGGAGGGACTGTAACGATTTCTTGCTTAAGAATAAGAAAGTGAAATTTCTTTTATTCTTTTTAACGTTTTATAGATTTTTGTGTTTATTCCTTTATTCATTTATTTTTTGATTCAGTAATTGTAGAGTAACTCATAATGACTCCAAAAGGAGCCTATTTATATTTTCACAAATGGGAAAATTTCTCAGATTTTTTAATTCCAACTTTTTATGGTCACTGGAAGCTTATAAATACATATTGAAGATGAAATGAAATTATTACATGTCAGTCTTGATTTATTTTAGCTTCAATTGCACATACTCTTAATAATTTTTGTTAGAGTAAAATGGTAATGAGTTAAGAACAGCAGTAAATTAACAAACCGCTTTATTTTACAGGGAAAATATTCATCCCTAAACAGAAACCTATCCAGACTTTTACAGAAGAAAAAATCTCTCTTGATCCAGAATTAGAAGAAGCTTTGACAAGTGCTTCTGATACAGAATTGTGTGACCTCGCAGGTACCTCCTGAAACACATTGTGAATGAATGTGGAGGGGAGGGGAGTACCAGCACACACCTCTATTCATTATGCAAATACTTCCTTTGCCTAGCAGAGCGCTATTGAATCAGTGACCATATATTTGGCTTTGTTTCTTATACTCTAAAGCTGATGCAAAGAATGTCATTTTTAAAAATTCTCTCAATGGTGAAATTATTATGTTAATGGAATTGTATTACTTGACATCTTTTCCCACGTTACCCATTTTGAAAGACTTTATAAAAATGTTTCATCGGCTGGTGCTCAGCTAGAAGCCGTCCCATCTGAGCACTGAAAGAGCTGCCGGGGTCAACTACTGTCCCATTTTATCAGAAAGACCCCAACATGGGTAACTGGAAAGCAGATGAGACAGTCAGCCCTGAGCTATACTCACACTTTCCCAACTTCTCTGAAGTGTGTATGGAACACTCCAAGCCTCCCTGTTATTGTCATCATTGCCGGTTTCTTATAAAGACCAGTATCTCCTCCACCTCCTCCCCCACACAGCCATTTTCCTAAATAGAAAAATAGGACACATGAAGAGATCTTAACCCCAAGAACTAACATGTTTGAAAAGATTGTGAAGATTCTTTAGGAAGAACCCAGGAAAAGGACAGTCAAGGTGTTTGCCACAGCCAGAGCAGGTGTGTTATTGCTGGGAGTGGTAAGGATTGATGGATTTGTAAATTCATCAGAGTGGAGTGGACAAGGGGCACACTGTAGCTTCTGCCTCATTTATGCAAAAGGGCATCAAAAACAAAAACCAAATTTCTCCCAAGTGTCATTTTTGGGGTATCTACTTTAATCTTAATATGAGAATTCAGCTATACTTTTAGTATTCTACTCTTAGCTAAAATATGAATGAGAGTTAACAAATGTAAAGTAGTGAAGGTTAAGTTGAAAACCTGCCATCTATCACATTATGTTGCTAGAAATCTTGTGTAAGGGATGAACAGCAAAGTAGATCATGTCAGTTTTTTTCTTAGCCACCAGATGGAGCTAATCATAGATTTGCATTTAAGGTTAGGCTAGCTTCAGCTGTGTCTGAGTTCAGACCTATGGGGAAAATAATAAGGGCATTGATGAGAAGGAGACTGTAGGTGATTTTTAATTATGCTGTCTCCCCTTTTTGGGCTGCAAAATCTGTAGTTAACTGAATAGTAAAATGTCCAGAGAATGTTAAACTCATTAATAGAAATTTTGGGTTGTAAAATTCTCTTATGTTTAACACTGATGAAAATAAAACTAATTTTCTTATTCTGTCTCCATAGCTATTCTTGGAATGCACAATTTGATAACGAATACACAGTTCTGTAATATAGTGGGAAGTAGTAATGGTGTTGACCAAGAAAATTTTTCAAGTAAGTATTTACAATGCTTTGTGAATTCCAATTCTTTGTTAAATATATTTTGTTTTCTCAATGTATCAACTTCTGTGTTTACATACCAAATGTTATGTATATATACTGGAAACCTAAAATTCCAGTTAGATGGTATTGGTATATATAACCATTGAAAAAGGAAGATTAAGTATCTTATGCTTAATGTGTCAGCAAATGTAATAGGAACCACTCTCACCTCACGGGTAATACTAATGCTAAACAATATAAGTGCTAATCAAACTTGGCTTTTGTTGACATTCTTTTTTCAGTGTTACTGATTTTCAAGAAGTCTACAACAGTGTTGGCAAACTACATTATAAAATCAGATTCAGGAGAAACCTCAGAACTATTCAACCCCCAAACCTTTTAGTCTATTTAATGAAAAGTATTAAATAGCCCAAAACAAAGCTTTTAAAAAAGTTCATGTATAGGAGCCCTGGCCAGGTGGCTCAGTTCATTGGAGCATTGTCCCATACATCAAAAGGTCACAGGTTCCATTCCTGGTCAGGGCACATACTTAGGTCGTGGATTTGATCCCCTGTCAGGGCCTTTACGGTTGGCAACCAGTCAGTGTTTCTCACATTGATGTTTCTCTCTCTCTCTCTCAAATTAATTTAAAAACAAACAAAACAAAACATATCCTCAGGTGAGGATTAAAAAATTCATGTCTGGGATGTTTTAAAATTATCAAAGTAATATATACTTTTGTAGTATATACCTGCCCTGGCTAGTGTGGCTCAGGTGGTTAGAGTGTTGTTCCATGCACTGAAGGGTGGCAGGTTCGAATTCTTGGTCAGGGCATATGCCCAGGTTGCAGGTTCAATCCCTGGTTGGGGCATATGCGGGAGGCAATCGATCTATGTTTCTCTCTCACATCAATATTTCTCTCTTTCTCTCTCCCCCTTCTTCTCCCTCTCTCCCTCCCCACCAAAAGATAAATAAATAAATAAACAAACCAACAAACAATACTTAAGTGTATAAGGTAAGAAGTAAAAGTGTTGCCGAAACCAGTTTGGCTCAGTGGATAGAGCATCAGCCTGCGGACTGAAAGGTCCCAGGTTCAGTTCCGGTCAAGGGCATATACCTGGGTTGCGGGCGCATCCCCAATAGGAGATGTGCAGGAGGCAGCTGATCGATGTTTCTCTCCCATCGATGTTTCTAACTCTCTATCTCTCTCCCTTCCTCTCTGTAAAAAATCAATAAAATATATTTTTAAAAAAAAGAAGTAAAAGTGTTCATAGAAATTATGCCTTCTACTCATGCACCCCTAACCCTGTTAACAATTTGTTGTATATTTGTTTAGGGTTTGTACTATGTTTATATAAACTTATATATGTATATGTAGTCTTTTGTTTATTTACAAAAATGGGATCATACTATAGATATTTCTTACAACTTAATTTATTTTTTACTTAATTTATTGGGGTGACATTGGTTAATAAAATAACGTAATTTTTCAAAACTAATACAATTGGCTGATTGTCTGAATGCTGACTATGGGCCATATTCTGTGCACAGCTCTTAAATAGAAATTGTTTTTATTTAATCCTCACAGCAGTTCTATGAAATAGGTATTATTATATATTATCCTTTATTTGCATATACGGGAGCTGAGATTTTAGAATGATTAAGTAACTAACTTGAATGTCACACAAAGTTAGTGATGAGGATTTTAATCCGTGCTGTGTAGTATATATTACTTAGCACTATATTGTGTTTCCTGGTTAGTTAACATATAGAGCTACCACATTTGAACATCTGTATAACACTCCATTTTGTGAGTGTTCTATGATTTGGCCATTCCCCCTATCTTTTAACTTTTTGTTGTAGAAATGTTCAAGCATACATAATAGAAGAGAGAATAATATCGTCATTACCCAGTTTCAGCTGTTTTTAACATTTTGTCAGCCTTATATCATCCATTGTTTGCCTCTCAACCCATTTACTCCCCACCTCCCTTCCCCCCGGGAATCAAACCGGCCAAGGCATTTTTTTAAAAATATGTTTTTATTGATTTGAGAGCAAGGGAGAGGGAGAGAGAGATAGAAACATCAATGATCAGAGAGAATCGTTGATCGGCTGCCCCCTTTATGCCCCCCATTGGGAATCGAGCCTGAAACTCAGGCATGTGCCCTGACCAGGAATCAAACCACAACGTTGTGGTTCATAGGTTGACACTCAACCACTGAGCCACACCAGCTGGACAAAGACTTTCCCTTTAACATACCATTATCAAACTTAAATATTAACAGTAATTCCTTTTTATCATCTAACACTCAGTTCATGTTCAGATTTCTCATTTTCTCAAAAATATCATTTCACAGTTTGTTCAAATCAGGATCCAAATAAGCGTCACCAACTGCATTTGGTTGTCATTTGGTTTCAGTTTTTCTTAATAGTTCCCCTCCTCAACTTCTTTCCCCCTTTCTTCATACCATTTTTAAGAAACTGGGCTGTTATATATATATAGAATTTCCCACATTCTGGATTTGGCTGATTGTAACCTTGTGGTATCATTTTACAAATGTCTCTGTCTCCTGTGTTTCTATAAACTGTTACTTATTTTCTCTAGGCTTGATCAGATTCAGGTGCAGTTTTTTGGGTCTTAAATTTGGACAGAATGCTTCCTAGGTGGTGATTAAATCACATTAGGGTGCATATCAAGATGGTCATATCTCTGGGGGGAATGTGTTAAGTGTCATTAGAGAGCTCAAGCCTTCTAGATCCCCTTTCAACTTTGCATAGTTGTATCCTGGCCATGTGTGTGGGTAGAGTATATATGGTGAAGAATTGGAGTTAGGAGTGAGGGAAGGAAATAGAATTTGGAATTTCTGCCTCAATACTTCCTCTGTGTACTATTACCTCTTTCTGTCTCCCCACTCCTTATTCCTACTTTACTTCCTAATGAGGAGTCCACCCCTTTTCCCATTGTGTAGTACTCCCCATGGGAAGAAGACCTGTGTACTTCCATCACCTTGTTGTTCTTATCACGGCTCTGTTTCTTTAAGTCTGTGATTCTTACTGCCTTTTCAGTAATTACTAGCAGATCAGAGAGAAATCATACGAGATGGTAAAGTTAATCATATTTGAACTTTATCTTAAACATTGCAACAAGTAAATGGGATCATTGGCATGTGTTATCAAATGTATTTTAGTGGTAATTTTGTAATACACCAAGAGGCCATGAAAATAATCATTTCTGAAGGCTGATGTTTTGCAAATACAGTGGGGCCTTGACTTACGAGTGTCCCGACTAACGAGTTTTTTGAGACACTAGCTGTCTCTCGGCCGATTTTTTACATTGAGTTGATAGAGTAATTTGAGTTGAGCTCCTTAATGAGCTCGGTCTCGGAACGAATTAAACTCGTAAGTCAAGGCCCCACTGTAAAATGAATTATTTTTTATATATTCAATAAAGTTTTATTTTTATGCACAAAGGATAATTTAGAAATTGTGGGGAAGAAACTTTTAAATTAGTCCTACTGAGTGTGTGTGTGTGTGTGAGAGAGAGAGAGAGAGAGAGAGAGAGATGTGTTACCAAGTTAATATATGCATCCACTGTAATAGTATCAGCCACTGAGACACTTGTTTTTCTCATTTGTTACTACAGATGTGGTAAAAGGTGAAAAGATGGTCCCAGTATTTGATGAGCCACCAAATCCAACCAACGTTGAAGAGAGTTTAAAGAGAATTAAAGAAAATGATGTTCGTCTTGTTGAAGTTAATTTGAATAATATAAAGGTAGGTGTGCCAGGCAAAGTAGGTTTTGAATTGCTGAGTCAGGTGGATCTAGGGTGAGAGCTGGCAGTTTTGATATAGTATAGTTCTTTCTACTTAAAGGTGAAGTGTCTGCTCCTAACACTGTGGTAACACAGATTCTTCCATATTTTAAAAATTAAAGTAATGCAGTGTTTATCTTACTTGCTTTTTATTTTTATTTTTTTAGATATATTTTTATTGATTTTTTACAGAGAGGAAGGGAGAGAGATAGAGAGTCAGAAACATTGATGAGAGAGAAACATCGACCAGCTGCCTCCTCCACCCCTCCCACTGGGGATGTGCCCGCAACCAACGTACATGCCCTTGACCAGAATCGAACCCGGGACCCCTCAGTCCGCAGGCCGACGCTCTATCCACTGAGCCAAACCGGTCTTGGCTTACTTGCTTTTTAAAAGAGTATCACATAGAAATGCAGATCCTATTAGACTACCTCTCTCAGCTTTCAAAGTACTGCCTCCTTTGAAGAGCATTTAGTCTTTTGGGTTTTGGGTTTTTTAATCAGGTTTCTTGAGGTCTAATGTATATAAAGTAAAATTCTCCTTTTTCAGTGTATTATTCTGTGAGTTTTGACAAACCCATACAGTTGAACAACCACTAGCACAGTCAGATGTAGAACATGTCACACCTTTTGTCGTCATGGCCCTGGCTCTAGTCCTGACAGTCACTGCTCTTTTCTT